AAAGAATAATTGCGAGCAGACAATAGCGAATATTTTAACAATATTTAAATTATATAAAAAATATAAGTAAAATATAAAAAAGACAGATTTTCCTAAAAATAAGAAAGGAAATATGTGAAACATACGTGTACATATATACATTTTCAATAAAAACTATTTAGAATTAATAAAAATTTTACTTTTCACAAGTGTTTTTAGAAAAATGCCCTAATGATTTTGATTAGCTTATCGCGTTACTTACCTAAAATAATCCTTGTGATTTCTCCTTTTTACAAAACAAAAATTACGATTTCAAAGAGGAAGGTTTCGACTACAGTGCGGCTATATAAAAGATATCGCAGAAAAGACTAAAATCTATATCTAAGTCAGCCTACCAATAATGAATGGGTCAAGATTGGGTCAAGAGTTGATACAGTTATATTGAACACGATGAGGCCTACGATAGAGGCGACAAAATAAATTTTAATTGATTGATCATTTTATTAATATTGCTTAGTAATTTCGTATACTTTATATACCGCATATATTTATAGAATCGGTTTTAAGAACATTACTGTTATGTATTATATTGATATAATCCAAACCTTCTCACTATGAAGCAATTTCCTACTAAGTTCATGCTTCTTCACAAGCTTATCAAGTTAGAATATAAAGCTAAGCATGCTTGTCAGTAGCTGACCTGACAACACCTTAAAAATTACATATAATTTCACATTTAAGCTTTTTAAGCAATGTTTTTATTTTACAAAAACAAATTAACTTTAGAAAAATTAAGGTACCAATACATAGTTATCAGTCATCAATTAATCATTATGAAATCGGAAATTATCACACATCCACATTTTTATCCGTACTCTCATTAAATTATGTGATGCCCAGAAAACAAAAAAAAAAACAATCTAATATTTTTTTGCGAAATACCGCCATGTCATTCAAGATATTAGATTTCAAAATATATGTAGTTTCTGTAAATTTCAATTATAGTAATAAATATTGTCGTTTTTGCTTATAATGAATTACTTTAGTGTGGATTACTATTATTTGTAAAATTAAAAGCATGAAGAGCAACTATTTTGTATATATGTAATTATGTTAGATCGCAGTAGTTATTTAAGTTATTATTGTTAAAAAGATCAAGTTCCAGTTCTCTTATACGTATTCATACATTTGCAAATATATTTATTCGATTACTCCAAAATTCTTATCTTCAAAATTTTATAAATTCATCTATGAGAGAACATCATCTTAAAAAAAATGCTTGTACCTTCAGTTACTATGGAAATTGTTCAAAATATGGAGTTATTCGCTTAATTTAAAATAAACAATAATCTTTAATTTAAAGCAAATATACTTTGAAGAATAGCTTCTTGTTTTGGTTTTATAAAACACCTTCCTCTAAAAGTTAAAAATAAATGTCCTTTAAACATACACTTCCTCATGCTGGACGATCTTCCCATCCTCATCCATATTCGCAAAACTGGCATCTCTCTCATCCTCGCAACAATAGATAGTAGTAGAAATAGTATTGTTCTTTTTGAGTTTAAAAATACAATATAAATATTACCGTATACCGTATGTATATATAGACATTATAATAAAAAAGAATGTACCATGAGCTTAAAATTTTTACTAAGATCATTCTAAAATAGTTCCTGAATGATTCTTTTACTGCTTTGCATCGGGTTCATCAGAATATTTTACGTTGTAAACTAGGTGCTAAACTAGGTATAGGTTTTGTATATGAAGCTTTCTCAATTCCTTTAAAATGGGACTTTTTCTCAAAAAGTGATTCAGGTCTGCTTGTTCAGGATGTTAACACAGGTAAATTGTTCCTTTAGAAGTTTCTAAAATAATTTTTAAAATAATGTTTGAAAAGGCATGTAGATTATTAGTAATAAATATAATATATAAAATGTTTAAGTGATTTATCTAAAAAGTGATTTGTTTATTTATATATTAATAATTATTAATCACTTGTTGGGGATTACAAATTATTTATTTCCCGAAAATATGAAACTATAATATATTTAATAAAAACAAATATTAATCCGAAAACAATATTTAAACAATATTAATATAATATTAAAATTAAAAAAAAAAATTTTTTTTAAATTAAATTTTTCTTAATTAATTTTATTAATACTAACAGAAAGTTTAAATTTTTAATAAGTATAGCTGAGTAATATTCAATAAGTTAATCTGTTATTGTTATATCAATAATTTTAAATTAAATTTTCCATTTTAATTTTCTTATTTTAATTTTCTTATAATAAATGATTTATATTTATATTCAATTGTATAATTTGTGTTTGAAAAAATATTAATGTTAATTTTGAATAATTACGTATGACATTTAAAATACTTTAAAAAATTTCATGTCCAGAAACTTTGTGATAATATTTTTTTATTTATTTCACCAAAAATTTTTAAATGAAATCACTGCTTTTCTATTTTATGAACATTTTTATAGATGGTCTCATTAATCAATTTTTTAATACTACTAATTTTTATCAAAACCCGCCACAAGTGTACAACGATATGGACTGATTGTGGCGTACCGATTCCGTTCTTTAAAATTTTGCAAATTTTATCTGCTTAAAGATATACAACTGCAGCACCTTTGTTTTAATATATAAATATCATTATAAGAATTAAAGTAATTTTAAACCTCACAAAGTCCGATCCAGAATTAATTAAATTTTGTGCATTTACTAAATATTAAATACAATATTTTTTATATTTAAAGATTATGTTAAAAAATATATAAAGACGATTATATATGTATAATCTATATCTGTATAATGCGAGTCATTCTGTCTAGAAGTAAGCATAGATTGTTTGGTTCTCCGCCTAAATAATTTAATTTTTACCGAGGTACAGGATGTTAAAAAACGGTGATAGCTTGTTTCTAAGGTCGATTACAGGAAAACGACACGTTATAACAAAAACTTCTGCATCAAAAAATGTTAGCAAGATAACATTGTATTTATTTATCGAAAAAAAAAATTTACTAATGTTTTGGGAAAAAAGAAATTTTGTGCAAAAATGCCTTTAGGTCGGACCCTGTTTATATTACGACATATTCCTTACAATTACAGCCTTTTAGAGGAAGAAAGGCCGCCCGGTATCCATTTACTGTATGTCATCATGCTGTTTTATTAATTTAATTTAAATACTTTATACTTATATATAAATAAATAAAATAGTTACATTTAACTAGTCTATGTTTAACAGTTAACCATAAATAAGGTTACGGGGTTGCCTAAATTTAATCAGCTCCGAAGTTGATTAAGGTAATCGAAACTTAGGGTTACTGTTTTATGTAATTTTCTGTAAATGAAAAACTATTTTGCTACTTTGTCTAATTTTTTAGTAATATTTACAAGAAGTTGTTGTTTACAACAAGAAAAATTCTGACCATATAGCTGTTTCGACTATTGACAAATACCCAATCCATCATCAGTGGTCTTGGAATTATTTCTTGTATATAATTGTTCGTTAATTCACTTGCTGTGTTATATTAAAACGAAATCATAAATTAGCTATAGTATAATTGATTTAATTTAATAATTGATTTATCAATACTATTCTGTTTGTAGAGGTATTACTTGTGGCATGCATTTATATTATTCTTTCTTATATATAGAACCACTTTTGCTTACGATAGAATCATATATAATTATGATGAATCAATACTTAATAAATATATGTATACAAATACTCATTCGATTCATATCGGGAGGGTTAATTTCAGTCTTTCAAGCCCCCATGACTAGGTCCCTGCCTTTTTTATTAATATAATGTATTAATATAATTAGCTTTAGAAATTCGTAATAAAAATAGAATTATCTTTTATTTATAATTTTTAATGCATTTGTATAATTTCTAGTTTTTAGTGAAATTTTAACATTTATGGTAAGAACTTTTCAAAATTTTAAGTCGACCTTGTTCCACGGCTTAAACAATATACGCCACGCGATATAAATGCACACGTTATGCTAATTTTAAGTATTGAATATATGTAGATGTGAACATATTAATTTTCAAATAATTTAATTTAAAAAAAGTAGAAACATTATCAGAGCATTTTATATATGAAGAATCTAAATTTCTCATATCACTAATTTTGGTTGTACTAATTAATTTATACTTAATATTCAAATTGCATAACAGGTTGCGTATGTTCGTTAATCGTTGATTGTTGATTGTTGAATGAAGTTATTTTTAAAAAAATTTACGAGAATTACTGGTCGCGTTTAGCATAAATTAACATAAAAATGCGCATAAACATGAATGCTAATGTTTCTATGAAAACGTATGTACCTATATCGATCGTATTCAATGCACATAAAAGTTGCAGTTAAAACAAGTTATGTACCCACTGTGCCTGCTTTGACTGCTTTGCTTTCGGATGAACTATTGTTAAAATACTTGCTTGTGTGACGTCACAAACTTACATACATTGTGCAGAGCAATGCCGGCAATTGAAGCACATGCACACAGTACGAGCGAGCCCACTTTTGTTGAATTTTTTTAACAATGTGAAAGTGGTAGTATGGTAAAATTATGATAAACCAAAGTTAAAATAAAATGAAAATTTACTTGCTGGTATTTGGTTTAAAAAAAAGAAAAAGAAATTTAAAAAAAAAATTTTTTGGAGCGCGTAGCAGCAGAAGCTACGGCTTGTAACACAAGTTTTGTAAATGCTGTGTATTTAGTTGATTCTCCTGCTTATGATGCAGGGCAAACGGAGGCATGTATGGTAATGGTGGGCTTTTAAGCATAGGGTAGTTAGGTTGTTTGACGTGTTGGTGTGTTGGTATGTGCCACAGTTAAAGTATTTCGTCGTTGTTGTTGTTGCTTCTCTGTTGTTTTGCGGTTATTTGGTTTTGGTTTTGTTTTTGTTTTTGTATTTCACTAAGGGGCTTGCGCTTACTTGCCTCGGTGCCAAAAGCAGCAGCAGACAATATTTTTGAGCGCGAGAAGTAAAACATTAGCAAACAATCGTTCGCGGCGTTAAGAATTCGTGTGCTCGTTGGTCTTCTTGTCTGTTTGTTTGTCCGTCTTACCGTCTTATAGTGTGTGTCGGCCTAAACTCTAACGCGTACGGCGTCTAAAACGTAAATTTATGAGTAAACGGAAGTGACGAAACATTCAAAATTCTAACCTATTTCCTATGAGTGGAAATTTTAGAAATTTCCATCCACAAATTGTTGCTGCTGCGCTGCTATGTTGAAAAATGTTTGTGAAGTTTTGAAATAATTCGTGACGAAAACATTAAGCACAAAAAAATTTGACATTTTCTTTTACCTCAAAGTCACGCTGAACGGAGCATGCGCCAAAAAGCCTAAGCGTGGGTGAAGGCACAGGCAGCTAAGGATTTCGTACGAAAGAGAAATACACTTTTCGTTCCACAACATTAACATTCTAAGGACATTCGCCGTACAAACCGGGCACAAGAAAAAGCAAACGCATATTTGCTAACCAAAAATTAGTGAAATTTTGTTAATTTTTGTGAAATTTTGTGAAATTTTTACTTGTGAAGAAATATCGAAAGAAACAGAAACACATATCCTTAACTTACACAATACACCTAAACTTTCACTTGGTGAAATTTTAAAAGTTTTTATCTTAAAAGTATTTTTGTGAAATATCATTTTAATTACATAAATTTATTCACTTAAATTATAAAAAAAATAAAATCAAAAACAATGTTGTCGTCTGAACGCATTGATACTACCAAACCCATCGTTACGGAGGAGAACTCACATCTCTTGGAAACAGCTGCCAACGGCGACAAATATGGTTCCCAACAAGCGGTAAATGTTGTGTAATCTATGAAATAAGAAAATTCGCACATTCAAAGGAGTTTTTTCTATTTTCTATTGTTGTATAATAGTGTAAACTTTCCAATTATGTAAATTATCTCCTTGAATAACAATTGCAATTGCACATTCGGAATTGAATGCTTTATTACCTCGTAGTGTTCTTGATCTAACATCTGACCTTCAGGCAGAGTGCCAATAAACACCAAAACGATTCTATTAAATACTTTAATTACAGAAATTATGTGATTTCCAGCGCTAATTTTAGCACACTATAACAAAACAGTTATTTGAATTAAACAAAATATTCAAAATTCATTTTAATGTTATTAAAAATAAAAATTGAAAACTCTTTATGTTGTCAAGTTTTTCTTCCATCCCTATAGATTTTGTTTTGCTTTAGGTCAGTGATTTGAACACCAGTTGCTCAAAAGTAGTTTGAGATCTCTTCCTTAACTAAATTCAACAAAAATCAATGTAGCTGCTGATATCGAGTTCTTTTTATTCTCCTTTTTAACTCTATGGTGGTTGTCTTTTAAAATGCAATTCTGTTGACCTATGATTACGATGGAACCAATGACTAAGTGCATAGATAGTGGTAACTATACAAGGCAAGAAATCGTGACAGCTGGAAAAAGTTCGTTATGGCCCAATGTTCCCCTAGGAACGTAATATAATGAAGAAGAAGAAGTTACAAGGCACAACAATTTTTGATTCTGCTGATATTTTTTTGGTATCACCCTGGTAGGAAGAAGTGGTAAAATTAAACTGATAAAACCACATTATTTTTTGCGGCCCTCTAATCTGTACAGTAATTTGTATTGAACCACGATCTGGTCTGGACAGCCGTAGTCTAAACTAAGGCATGTGGAATTAATATTATTAGTCCTCGGTTGGAACAAATTTTGAATGGACGTGCACAAAACACTTTGGTTTTGTAGTAAATGCATTTTTTCGAAAAGTCGCACAAATGCAATTTAGTTAAACAAGGGAAATAGTTAATCTGAACGCTTCACATATTCTTTTCGAAGGAATATGGTAGGTTCTATATTTACCATCTTGCAATACATAGCCAAATTTTAAACCATACGTAAAACTAAGATTTTAGGTATTATTTCGTTAAGTAGTAAGCTACTTAAAAATGAATTTAGTAATAACTAAGATTGTTGTAAGTATGTTCAAATGAATTAGTTTGGCAATTTTATTCAAAATTATTCAATTTATTCACAAAAAATTAAAGAAAACTGTTTATTAACTTTCACAAGTTTTAATTGCATTTAATATTTCTACTTTAAGCAAGAATCATCGTCAGAAGAGTCCTGATTTTTATTGCAACTTATTACAATATGTGAATCTGTATCTATCAAAATACTAAGCTCTACTTCCTATCACAGTTTTACATTCTATTATTAAATGAACAAATGCTTCAGTTACTATTCTACACAAACAGTATTATAAACTTTTTGATAAGTATTCTATTATTAAATGATATTAAATGAAATCTGGATAAGTATTATGCTCTTCCATTATGTGATTCCTACTAACCAAATTTCAGCGAATTCTTAACTGTTTCCTATTGAGTTTATAAACTGTTTACTATACTTAGTATTAAAATCAGTAACAAGCATTTTGTATTGTTTTTTACCTAGTTAATTAGAATTTTTTATTGTTGTATACTTAATCAATTATAGTGTACATCAAGCCGGTTCTATCCCAAAGCTCAGATTTGAAAGAAAAATCGAGATTTTAGTCCCTTTGTTTTCTAAAATTTCATTAACGTAAATAGTAGTATTTAATATTTTATTAATAATATAAACTTGAGATATTTCATAATACTGCAATTCCATTTATATTAATCTAATTTATATTAATCTAATCAACTTACAGTAAAATTTCAAAATCTAATATCCTAGTCTTATACGATTTTCTCGATATATAAGTGTGTTTATACTAAATATTATGTTAAAAGATCAGGAGCTGAGAATTTTTTCGCAGTAACTTTATTTATAGAATTTTAACATGAATAAACCTATTGCTCTTCAAATCACTTCTTTTTCTTATTTATAAAAATTTAGTTTGAATACATTACTTTAATGCTATAGCACTAAAGAACGATTCCTTGCTATGCCGTCCTATATACAGCACACATTTTATATTTAAAAATATAATAATCATCCTTAAAAACTCAGCTTAATTTTTGTACATCTTGAAGATGCAATTATGTACTCATGTGAATACGTACAATAAATAGGCATAAAAACTTCTTTCTGATTCTGTTTTCATAGTACACCAGTTTGTTGATCTCCACTTGACCGGTTTTTTTGTGCAGCGTCGAAATTATTCTTACTTGTACTTTGTATCTATCCTTCTAGCTTAGATACTGTGAAGGTTGTGTGAATATTCAAACTCGCAGGTTTTATTGTTTTTTTTTTAATATGAACATTTATTCAACAAAAAAAAAGTAGTTATTACAACTTAAATTGATTTTTTTTTATCCTTCATTAACTTAAGTCAAAAATTCCGACCTACGTCCAGATATATCGTATTGAATATGTGGGAAGTGAATGATAACAAGACCATGTAGGTACATTGTAACATTTGTTCATTTAAAGTTGATTATCCTATTTTAATGGCAGAAAAAATATGGTGGGCGGTATAATCTTGACTTTAAAAAATTTAAAACCAAATGAAATAAATAAATTATAAAAATGTGTAAATAATATTTACTAAATATAATAGATGTATGTATGTATATGCATTTTGCTTAAGAAAAAAATGTAAATACAAAATCTCCTGGTAATGACGCTATGATTAACCTCTGCTTTAAAATATTACCAAAAATGTTAGAACATATCTAAAGACTACAATCAATGACTGGTATTATTTTCTAAGAGCCTGAAAAGACTTTACATTGGTCTGTATCGGAAAACCTTTCATACAGTCCATGTACCATGCACTTTAATAAATAAGCAAGATTCTAAAAAAAAATGTTTAAAGCTACAGGGAATAGTCGTTACTTAGCACTTTCAAAACACTGGTATACTATAAGTGAGATTACTCATATATAGTCTTTTTATTTCTAAATGTCTTTCGAACTATATTTAAAATAAAAATATATAATAATAAATAAATGTACATCAATCACCGCAAAAGCAGCTCGTTAAGATATTAACGCTAATATGTAATACTAATAATTTAGGATAATAATAAAATGAAAGAGATTATCCGATATTTTTCTGAGGAATATATCGTGTACTTTTTATTTTAATAATGTGTTAAATAGATTCGTAATAAATATAAATAGATAATTAAATCTTAAGTTTATATAATTAGCGATTAATTAGTTAAATAGTGATAATATGATAAATAGATTCGTAATGAAATTTAAGACGCAACCCGTAAAATTTATTGCTTAATGTAGTTTTAAATAATAATAACACATTTTAAGTTATTTATTTTAAATTTCTAAAGTATATATGTGTTACGCTATCGTTGCTTTTATTCCTTTTAATAATCACTAGAACTCTACCGAATTCATCGATTAAGGCACTAAGGCATAAACTAGTGAAATTTTGCCACATATCATCCTTTAATTAATTATTTAATTATTAGCCACTTGGTACATAAATAATTTTAAGGATTCTATTTAATTTTTCTAAATACTTATGAAAGAAATATGTAGTAACTTTTAAAGAAAATTCTATAATTGTAATTTTTAAAACAAAAAACTAATACTGATACTGATAATTGGATTCATATTACTAGTAAATAATTAATAATAGTATTATAGTTCTTGAGAAAAAACCATATTGTAACTAAAGAATTATAACAGATATTTCAATTTTTTCACAATTCAATTTTCACACAATTTTATTAAGTGCGCTCAACGCACTATATAACTAAAATCGGTCGATATAGTTGTTAACAACTCTCAGTTCAGACCAATTATATGGAATAGCAAACGACTGTAGCTCAATCTTACGCAGTATTACTGGAAATGCATTTGAAAAACATCATTTTTGACATTGCTATCTACAATAGTTCCATTTGCAGACTATAGTTAAATCGTGCAGTTGACATTATTGGCGGAAATGACTTTAGAAAATTTTCTCTTTTACAAAGCAGGCTTTTTTCTCATAAATTTATAATCCATGTGGTCTTAAAGAATCGCATAATATTAAATCATATTTGTATTGCGTTTTTTTTAAGACTTTCATATTTATGTCCACTGCATTTCAAAAAAGTTAAAACATTTCCCGCTAATTAAACTGAGTTCTTCTAACCTTCTAAGTTCTTTATTCATCACTGTGTTGAAAGTTTTTGAGCAAATTGTCTTACTATAACTTGTTTTAGAACACACTATTAATCAGTATCACATTTTTGTTATATTAATCTTATTCTTATTAGTCATCTTTTCATCAATAGTATAACCATAACTTCGACACCAGTTTAACAGATTATCTCTAATATAAAAAGCTATGTTCTTATACAGCCTGTACAACTCATACTGAAGTAATAAATATGATAGGTGATTCAGCTTCATCAAAAAAATTGTTTTGCAAATGGACTTTAAGAAGAAAGGACATTCCAAAAATGAATTGATACCAGAAATCGTTGTAAAAATACATAACATGTTTTTGATAGATCATCGGTTAACTGAGAAAGATTTGGTACAAGTTCTAAACATTTATTATTCACAAGAAGCCATCTTTTATGCCAAGTTTTATATTTCAAAAAGCTGTTCGTACAATCAGTACAGCATTCTTTAACAATTCATGTTCCTATATTTTCTTTGAGCTGGTAAAATAATAAAGTCAGATTATTATTATACGTTTTGGATTAGTTATTTTCCCTCTCTGATTTCACACATCTTAAAAAAATTCATTTACTGGGTACCAATTTTCATCATACGAAAAGTTAATCAATTCCACTATGAGGATAAGATTCATAATAGATGCCGATTGTCATCCAACAGAGAGGTATTAATTCCCATTATAGAGATGAGATGCATAAATTGATGTGTCGTTGGTATAACTGTGTTAAAGTTTTAGGATATTTCATGTATTAGGTATATTATTTAAATAATAATATATTAGTTTTTAGAAATTGGTTATATTTTTTATAACTAATATCCTAATGCAGCAATTTACTATATACACATATTACATAAAAATTTTGGTTCAGTATAATATCGGTATTTATTTATTTAAATTAAATATTATTACCCTGATTTATTTAATATGTCAATAATATTGAAGTGTGCCCACAAATAGATTTTAGTAATTTCTTTTCGAGATATTAATCAAAACCATTTTTAGATTAATAGTTATAAACATTTTGCGTAAATTGTATAAAAATTAATCAAAGATTTCCTACTTCTAATCACTGACTAATCATTTTTGTTTATAAAGGCATTTTATTTATTTTTTATTTCAACACTTCAATCAAAAGATTTTAAAAAGTTTTTTATGAACTATCAATATATTTCAATCTTTATGTTCTAGTTAAATGATAGATAATCAAATGTTAATAAAATGATATTAATTATCTTGTTTGTGATAGCTTCCACCTGATTAATAGTTAAGTATGTCTCTCGAATTTAACGACCACTGATTACTATGTTTTGATTTTTCTATTTTTAAATTCGTCCAGTGATGTTATCTATTCTATCTTCTCATCCAACTGCTATGTTAATCAAGTTTATTACCTTTCGAAAGTGCGCCCATGTATTCCTTTTAGTCGTTTCTAATCGCATTCCGCCGTAAGCTCAGCACATTTACATTAGTAAGCAAACAGTAAATATTTTGTGTTTGATTGACCTTCCAGTGGTCGGAACTATCGACTACAAGCACGTACTGTTGACAGTAACCTTGCGATATATTTCGATGTTGATGTTGTTATTGTTTTTTTTTATATTTTCTTTCTAATACTTTTCCTTGATAATAAAATACACTACAGTTTTTCGGTTTGGATGAAATGCGTAGCTATAAATGCTCATTTTTATCGCCGAAGTATTTCTATACTTTTTTCTTTCTCTCTGTTCTTTATCGAAGATAAGACAAACTACTTGCAGTTTTTATGGTTTTCTTGTTCTAACAATAAAATAAAATTAACGTCATTTTACAGTGGCATCAAGTGGAAAAAAATCAAAGAAATCTTCAGTCCAGTATAAATATATATTCATTAAAAATAAAGCTCCGAAAAGAAAATTGAAATTTTTTATTCGTATTTTTCTTATTTGGCACTACAGTCCTTGGTCTCCCTCACGATCTGCCTCCATCTGTCCCGATCTTCTGCTACTCTCTTCCAGTTCAGTATTCTAATCTTTCTTGCATCACCATACACTTTCTTATCTCACCTTGTTCTTGGGGTACCTCTGTGCCTGGTTGTCATCGGCTATGCGTTGCATATGCTGCTGGGCTTTCTCTCTGGTCCCATTCTTACTACATGAGCAGCCCACTGTAACCTTTGCGACTTAATGTATATACTATATTTTCGTTACTTTTTTTTCGTACTACTACGGAAAATTTAATTTAAAATAGTATCGTGTATAATCTATTATTTTTTCAATTATCTCCATGATCTTGAATTTTAAAAATTAAAAATATGAAAATATGAGAACAAGACACCAAATTCCATTTAAATTTAGTCACGCTTTCTGTACCTCGTCACTTTGATCAAAACATTTTATTTTTTAAATGAAAGACCAACTAAATATTGATTATATTGACATGGTCATAACCAGAGAAATCATAAAATCAGCAGCAGTCATTCGTCATATGATTGTTCCAAAGACATTGTCCTTATGGAAGATAAAAAAAGTACTTTATCTTTATCAGTTTTTCTTAACGCTATGTGTGTCTTAACATAGTGATGTGTCAAATAATACTGAACACAAATCTGAATTTTCTTGGGAATCTGAATGGCCGCTATAACTATAAACAAATATATCCAACTTAATATATTGTTTTATTAATAGAGAGGTTTTTTGACCAGTACGTTTTGTTTTTTAAATAATATTTTTTATTTAGGCTACTCTGGTCTTGTAACTGGGATATTGTTAATTATTTATTATAATTTATTATTTAATATTTTAATTACATTTAATTTAGACTTGGGGCTATTTAGTCTTCTAAGGTTTCTACTAGAAGAATGAAGATTAATTATTAAAAACATTTTGTGTTGCAAATCTATTAAAATTTAAGATATTTATAAATTATATGGTATTATTAGTTCAACATATTAATTTCAAAGTTGTGGCCATATTTTTAATTAATACTCATTTGGAACACACCATTTCATATACACCATATATCATATTATTTGTTTCAATATCAAATTTACAAATGAAAGTCTAATCGCTCGTAGAGATGGGCAGGCACATAGGCAGAAATATACTCTTCAACGGTGGGACATAACAATTTTGGAAATAATTACTTAGACTATTTGTCGTTAAAAGTGACTGTGAATAAAAATTATAGCAAGCGTACTTAGGTCGTGTGCGAGTTAGGCTAAGTTGTGTTCTAAATGAAGGAAATTCTAAGTTGTGCCGATAATGTAGTGATGTGTCGATGCGTGTTGATAAATGGCTAAATGTGTGCAGTGTAAAAAATCCCAAGAAAAGTCCCATTTGGTTTAGCATCAACTTAGCCTAACTCGCACACGTCCTTAGTCTACCTCTTTCAGTTTCTGTTATTTTTGATAAGATAAAATTATTGTCCGCGCTAGATGTTATGATGTTAGTGGTACAGCAGCCAGGTAAAAAGATACTTTATTCACAGAAAATAAGTTCCATTATTTTCAACACCACAGTTTGTGTATCAATCGTTAATATGCTACCACATCGAACGTGATTAACTTACGTTGTATTTGTAGGAGACCATTTCATTTTTAATAGAACTCCTCATAGAATAAAATTAAATAGATTGACAATTTTTATTGTCCATAAGATTGATAACATAGCTTAACTTTTACTTGTGATTGAAATCTACTGTTTGCTTTTCTTTTGTAATTAAGTAAATCTTCGCTTGTTCTTGCGGCATTCCACATTAAGAGGGCTGACCTTTCAACCGTTTACTTGACTCTTTGAAAAGGTGAAGGATTCCGGCAAGTAGAAACAGCTGCTTCAGAAACCTTAACATATTTCTTATACATTTTTGTTAATATAATGATTTGTTATAGAATTTTAAAAATTATCAAACTACATATAAATCCATTTTTAAGTTATAAGACTACTTTTTTATACACATATTTCATAATTTTAGGCGTTTTGTTTTCATCGAGCCAAAAAGTATGCAATTTTTTTATAAATATTTTAGTTAGATTTTTAGTAAAATTCAGTTAAAATTTTTCAAGAAAAACATATAATATTAAAAGGATATTCAAATATATTATTTTGTTGCATTTATTATTCTAAATGAATTCTATTTAGAATAACAAAATTCTATTATTATTATTAAAATTATTACGCTAAATATTAAAAGTAAAATATTACACTTTTAATAGTGTTTCCACCGTCTTCGTTAGACCAGTTAACTTACTTGAGGTAACTTGAATTACTTGAATGTCAAGTAAGTTAACTGGTCTAATGAAGCCAGTGGAAACGTATTATAAGATTTTAATCAAATTTTATTCTATTATAATTGAATATTTTTTCCATATGATTGAAACTAACTGCGTAAATAAGAAAAAATAATTTTTTCTGTGCTTTAATTAATTTGATAATTATAAATTCACTATATTAGCTAACCTATGAACTAGTTATTCACTTTTATATGTTTTAATTAAATATAAGTAACTAATTATAATTAGTTATTTTTAATAAATTGCCATTAGATTAATAAAATTTAAATAAATTTTTTAAAGGCAACAGAATAATAACTGATATATTATATACAATTTAAACAAATTTAATATAAATTGTTTGCTAAAAAAATTCTTTTAATATGCGTAAATGATTAATTTTATAATTTAGTTACTTTTATTAAATAAATTTATTTTCTTTCTTTAAAAAATACTTGCAATATGACTTTTTTACGATATTAAATGTTATGTTAAAAAATTTTTAAACAAAACAAAAATGGAGTGTTAATTAATTTAAATTTATTTTTGGTTTTATTTTATAACTAATTAAAATAGTTAAATTTTATTATCAGCTTTTTTATTTTTTACTGTTGTGGAACGTTACACACTAAATGAGAAATTCAATCGACAGAAAGTTTAAATGACATTGAAATGTACTTCAGGACAGCAAAAATTTTTATTCACGCATTTTTCTCTTCGTCACGTATTGTCTTTACATGCGTACACAAACGCATATTCCAGGGTCTTTCCTTGAATAAAAATGCAATCCATAGAAAACAGATTGAGAACAGCAGAAATTCTTTGATAGCAACTTGCACAACCACAATCTGGAATTCCTCCACATTTCAGCCACATCTATACGTCCATGTATTTGCGTGGACAATGCTTACGATGAGGCAGGGCAGGATAACACAACAACTTGTTTTAAGTTTATAATGTAAACAAAAGCAACAAGAAATTTATTTCCTTTTGTTATGATTCTTCTTCGGACCTATTGATTTCTGTCTAGCTTCCGAGGTTGAGTTCTTCTGTGTTTGCTTTTCACATGATTTGGAACCACTGTATTAGACTTCCTTGCTTTATGGGTGTGTGTTTGTTTACTTTATTCTAGAAGTAAATTTTACTTAAAATGTCAATAATGGAAAAAAGAATTCTTAAATACTATTAAGAAACTATGAACACAACTTAAATTAAACTATTTTATGTTGAAGGAAAATATAAAAAAAAATATTTTATCTATCCATCCATTAACTAACTAAAATTATTGTCAATACATTTTATTCAATTAATTTGTCCTTAATTAATTTATGCTATTTTTTTTCTACAAATAAATTAGCAAAAGTAATAAAATAAATTTAATCTTAATACGATTACTTTTTGAATGTCTATGACTTTGACATCAAATTTATTGTTAGCATTACTTCATCGTTCTAGCTTAACGTAAGTCCTTTCTGAAATGTATATTTCACAATTAACTTATCCTAGAGGGGCCAACGTACGGTAATAAACAGAACATCAATTTGTCTTTTTCGTACCTACAGTTAAACATTGTACGAAAGTATGTATCATTGTGTGTCCTAATTGGTTTATGGCTTGGAGTCCGCAGTGAAATTGAACACTTGTTAGGCGACAGAAGAGTTTTGACAAATGTCAAAGTTTAACAATTTTGGCAAAAGATACTATACGTAGGAAGAGATGGTAAATTAAATTCTCAAATTGCAGAATTTTCAACTAAGGACTTCTTAAATTATTATTAACATTTTAACATACAAAAATTAAATTGTGAAAGCTTTTAATTAGTTTTTAACCTTCAAATACCTAATAAAAATAACATAGCACCCTTGGTACTTGGTGGAAACAGTTGGCGTAATTATAATTGGAATTGTTTGCTTAAGGCTGATACGATACTACTTATTTCATTTATTCAGGAAATTTATAAATAGATGTATACTAAATAATAATTTTTTAAAAACGAAACAAAAATATATTCACAAACTCTGAAATAATTAAGCTTTGGAGGGAATATTATACAGCTCTACGCAAAAGTTTAAGACCACCTCAATATTTTCCAATGCATCAATTTCAAAGGAAAATAACACAAACTACAGGGATTGTTTTGAATAAATAAATTTATACAAATTAAAATCAAAAAACCTCAATTGTTCTTTATGTCAAACACGTTTATTTCTTATATCACAATATGGGGCCAGAAACTTTTTGTGGACTAGGACATAGTACACTCCTTTCTCCCATAAAAGTAATGAAAAATCAGAATAAAAAGAATTGCTGATATGATATACCAAGATTAACACCATTTATTGGTGTCTATAACAATAAGTGATACCAGGATTGTATGAACTTATCAAAAGAAAAACTTAGAATTATCACAGGAATCATAGCATTGCAGTGTAAACTAAAATACCACCTTATGAGACTGGGTATACTTACAAATGCAAACTATAGATTCTGTGAAGAGAATGAGAAGTCGGCCACACATGTGCTGTTAGAATGCCCTGCGCTAATGCACATACAGAATATGCTGCTGGGAGTGTAGCTTTATCAGTAGGTTTCAGGTTTCAACCTAATAGCTTTTTCTGATAGTAATTTTGCTTTGTCAACCAACCTGACAAACCAGCCTGTGACCAATTCAGGGGATACCAACATTACTGATTGCTGACTCATTTAGTTTAACAAATAGATCCATACGTTCTACTCTCGCAGTCATTTGTTTGGTCTACCAGTTCGAGGCATTTGAACTTTCCTTTCGACCGTTTTTGTTTTGCGAGACGATGTGATGAATAAAAATATATATATTCATGTTGTCTTGTTGATAGAAGGAAAAGGATTTCGCAATCAATTTTGTAAGTTAATAAGATTTTGATGATATAAAAAAATGGAATAAGGTTGTTTTAAAAAATTAATCATAAATTCTGCAAAAAAATACAATTGAATTTTCTAATTGGAACATAATAATTTTCAAACCCATTTAAACACAAAGACATATCGGAAAATATTGCTAGTATTTATGCGCATCGTTTTAGTTTTCATTACGGCAATATTTAGGCCGACTTTACTCGATGCATTATTTAGATTCGTAATGCTTACTTGCATATCGGAAGTCCTGCCGGCAATGAGTACTACGTCATCTGCGTACTCCAAATGACTCAATTTTTGGTTTAACCTGCTATTAATGCCGCGTGCGTTTTCATTCAGTACTGTTTTATAAGTACTTTTTATTTAATATAATTATTTAAATAAAAATATAGTTATAAAATATAAGTTAGAAGAAATCGGGAGGCATTCGAATATAAAATATTATAAACTTTCGATATAAAATAATTTAAAGTTAGTATTTGGGTTTATTATTAATATGTTGAGTCTTTTCCGAGTTAGTGCTTCTGGGCAGTTTTACTCTTTGATAGCTGGGGGGGTTTCTGCAGAGTCCCACCCATCTCACTGACTAATTTATGTATTCCTCATAAGCTTCGTGATTATTCAATAACTGATCTATGATCTGCGTACCGCACTGCAGTTAGTGATTACTCTGAGAATAGATAATGCTAAGTAGGGCAGCCTGTCGGTTTTCGCATATAGCTTCAGCATATAGCATATAGCTTACGTATTTTTTGACCGAATCTATTCTAAGGTCTCTTAACATGTCATTCGTGCGGATGTACCATGGCACTTTGAAGAGTCTTCGGAGAGCCTGACTTAGGTCTAATTATCTGGCTGTAGATCAGCCAGATCTGTTTTTCGCGTTGATTTGCTGCTTTCATGACTGTTTTTTAATTTTAGTGATATCGATTAATCGATTAATTGTGATTAATTGTGCTTAATTGTGATTAATTGTGATTAAGGTAAAAAAAATGGTTATCTCAGTAGA